TCATTTTCAAGCCCACCTACACATATCTTATATCAAAACGTTCAGCTAACCCTGCTGTCACTAAAAATGTCCACGGCTAGGTCATACTCCTGATAGTTTTCAGAATATGACCATTTGTTTGCACCTCACCCCTCCCATTGACTTTCATTGAAACTCCACTCTAGATACCTGAAATTTTAAGAGACGTTTTTAAACTGCGACTGTGCCTTCATTTTTTATCTTTCAAAGACATACTATACATCAAAATTTAGCCCTGCTTCTTGTGATTATCACAATATAAGGCTCTTTGCTGTAGCATTTATACTTTTAAAACTACAAGTGTTTGAAGATGGCGATCGCCAGTGAAGTTGGCAAGTTTTAAACACTGCTTAGAACAGACTTGCTGACATTCCTGAGTGAGTGAGTTGCTACAGCAACCCAACATGACTCACACACAGCTGTATCATTAAGGCTAACTGTGAACTCCAAAATACAAGCTGAAATGCATTTATCCCTCTGTCAGGCTTGCTATGTACACTGCTTACATTTTGCTATTACTTTGTGGATCATTTCGCCAAATGGTTCACGAAATATCGCGTTTTTTTGTGGTGAAATTTTCCCATAGGAATGAATGGTGCATCTAGAGTGGCAGCAGAGCAAAGCTAGAGTGTGGAAGGAAAAATCAGAACATGATTTGTAAACTGCCATCACTCTGTCATTTTCAAGCCCACCTACACATATCTTTGTACCTTTTCTAGTTATTTATTATTATACAGGATTTATATAGCAAAAAACAAAATAATTTGCGCTAGTATTTACTTATATATAAATGCACATATATGTGAATAAATGTCCCAAATCAAATACATATCAAATAAAGCCCAATGGATTGAAAAAAAAAACAATTTTTTGTGAAAAACAATATTTTAAGAGGGGAAGGTACCGTTAGAGAGGGAGAGATTGAAGATGTGAGTGAGGGAGCATAGGATGGAAGAAGAGGGTGACCCATAGTAGTTGTGAGGGGAAAGGATCCAGAGGGCAGGTAGTGAGACGGGCTTCTGAGAAAACTTTAGTGACCTCTTTGGTAGTAGCAAGGTCAAAAGAGGAAAGTGTTGAGGAAGGTTTAGTATAAGGTTTGCTAAGTGGGATGGATGTCTGTGCACCTACGAATTGCATCAATCTTGTTTTTGAAATGATTTGCAATCTTGTGAGCAGTGAGTGAGGTACTGGGTAGAGGTGGAAAAAGTAGAGAGTTAAAAGTAGAGAAGAGACGAGAACTGGATGACAATGTATTAATAAGAGTGACAAAGTAGACTTGTTTGGCAGCATGAATGGAGGAATTGTATGTTAAGAATCTCTGTTATCTCTGTGTGATTTCTCAATCATCTAATCATCTCTGGTCGCGGCAAACAAGGAGGCAAGGCTCGAGCTAAGGCCAAGACCCGATCATCCCAGGCTGGTCTGCAGTTCCCAGTCGGTCGTGTTCATCGGCTGCTCCGGAAGGGCAACTATGCTGAGCGGATCGGGGTCGGAGCTCCCGTCTATCTGGCCGCCGTCCTGGAGTATCTGACAGCTGAGATCCTCAAGCTGGCCCGCAACGCCGCCCAAGACAACAAGAAGACCCTCATCATCCCCCGACACCTGCAGCTGGCTGTCCGCAATGACAAGGAGCTCAACAAGCTGCTGGGTGGTGTCACCATTGCCCAGGGAGGAGTCCTGCCCAACATCCGGGCCGTGCTGCTGCCCAAAAAGACCGAGAGCCAAGAGCAAGTAATCCCATCACATTCCCTTCTTCCTTGATTTTTTTCCTTTTCTCCCTTGCATGCTTCCTACCTTCTTCCTTGCTTCCCTTCCTTCCCTCTTTGTCCTTCCATTTTTCTTCCTTTCCTCCCTCCCAATTTTTCCTTCATTCTTTCCTTCCTTAATTATTGCATTCCTTTTTTCTTCCCTCCCTTTCCGTCCTTCCTTCCTTGCTTTTTTTCATCCTTCCCTTCCTTGCCTGGAAGGTGCTACCTTCCATTTTTTTTATTTCCTTCCTTACTTTCATCCCCTTCATATTCCTTTTCTATCGTATCATCTTTTCTTTCTTCACTTCCCTACTATTTCTTCCTGCCTCCCTTTCATTTCCTTCTCTCCCCTTCCACCCTTTTATATTTTTTACTTCCTGTACTTTCTTATCTTATTTCAATCCTTTCTTCACTTCTAGCTATTCCTTTTTTCTTTCTTCCACCCTTTTTCCTTTCGTTTCCTTTCATCTCCTTTTACTCTCTGCTTTCTTCCTTCAATCCCTTTCTCCCCTCCCTTTCCTTCCTTTCTTTAACTTCTTCCTTTCCTTCCTCTCTTCCTTTCCTTCCTCCCCATTCTTTTTTTCTTCCTTCCTTCCATCCTTCCTGCCTTTCATATTCTTCTTCCTTTCCTTCCTTTTCCTCTCCTCTCCTTCAATTCCTTCTCCTTCAATTATCTTTTTTTTTCATTTTGTTCCTCCTCCATCTTTCATTTGTTCCTTACTCCCCTGGCTTTCCTTCTTTTCTTTACTTTCCCTTCTTCCATCTTTCCTTCCTTTCTCCCTCCCCTTGCATTCTTCCTTTAATCCTTCCTTCCCTCCATCCTCTTCCTTCTGTCTTCTCCATTCTTTTTTCTTCCTTCTATCCTTCCTTCCTTCCTTTCTTCCTTCCATCCTTCTTTCCTTTCATATTCTTTTTCCTTTCCTTTCTCCATTCCTTGCTCTCCTACCTGCCAAATCTTTTTCCCTCCCTTCCTTCATTTTCTTCCTTCCCTTCCTTACGAATGGTAACTACCTTCCTTTCTTCCTCCCCCCTTTCCTTCCCTTTCCTTTCGTTTTCTTCTCTCCCCCTTCCACCCGTTCTTCCTGTTTTTCCATCCTCTTCCTTTACTATCTTTTTTTTTTTAAATTTAAATATTTATTGGATTTTCACAGTAATAACAAACATAACGAACATTTTCATCTCATTCATAATAAATATACAATTATTTCTTATTAACTTTTTTTTTCCCCCCTCTTAAAACATTACCCTCTTCCCCCCCCCCCCCCCCGAACCCCTCCCCACTCTGTATTTTTCACTATCTTTTATCCAAAGCAAGCGTATCCTACCCATCTATCCATTCTATTCACTTTCTCACATTTGCTACAAAGTTTTCCCATTTTTTCCCATTTCGCGGAATATACCTCCAACTTATCTTCCTGTATATAATATAACTTCTCCATTTTACTAATCCAGTTTACTCTTTCTATCCACTCCTCCTCTTTCAGTATTTATTTTTTCTTCCAATACTTAGGGATTAGGCTTTTTGCAACGTTCAATAATAATATAATTTCTTATATTTGCTAACTGATAGCTCTGAACTATGTAACAAACACATCCCTGGATCTAACCCGATGTTCATTTCAATAATGGTCTCTATTAAATGTACTATTGTTTTCCAGAATATTTGAATTTTTGGACATTCCCACCAAATATGATACACTGTCCCCACTTCCCCACATTCTCGCCAACACTGTGATTTCTCCCCACTTATCTTGTCTCGCAGTTGGATGCGCAGATATCCCCCATAAAGCTGTGCGAATCTCGCTTACCACGACTTCAGCTAAACTACACGATTCCTGCCCATCCAAATGGGTTAGCTTCTGTTGAGATGTGGGGAATGGAGCTCCCTATAACTGAAAATGATCACACGACACTCTCAGGTTGCTGTTGGAATTCACATAGAGAAGGTTTTCATTCTCACCCTCTAGTTTTTATTACAAATACACACACACGCCCCCCACATGAATAAGGTCAATCCCCTCCCACAGAACAATGCAATGGGGAGTGCCTATACACAGGATGTACATTCCGATTGGAGCATAGCCTTTCCTTTTATCTATCACCCATGAGCCCTCTGAGGTCAGCAGACTTCTTCCCCTTCCCCCCATGAGCCCTCTATGGAGAGCATACTTCCTGTCCTACTAGCTCCTATTGGTATGCAAATTCTTTGTACAAGCATTCCCTCCTTCCCTAGGAACATCAGTCTGTACCTGGATGGGCCCGATACGATCTTTATTAAAACACATCCATCCAGATACAGTTTCAGGTTGGCATTCGGTTGTAAGATTGGGGTTCACATCGCTTGGAGCCTTGCGTTATGAAGTCCATGTGGTACCATGCTGCTGATATGTGGATACAGGCCCGCGGCCTACCACCGGCGGCATTCGCATTATGCGCAGATCTGCTATCTCATCCATTACCGAGCTGAGTACTGTAATACATACATTGTACATGCGCGCATGGCCCAATTGCAGCCTTCAGAGCTTTAATAAAGCCACACGAGAGACATATGAATAACACTCATATATGACACATTTAAAGTTCAACCAACAATACAAAATTTCCATGACAATCTTACATTCTACACTCGGAACAATGTGCCATCTTGTCAAACATTTATAATTTGTTTCTACGTCCCTCAAACTTACATTTTCGTGAACTAATCTGTTAATTTTTTTTCTGTTGTTTGTCTTCATCTAATACCACCCTTCTTCCCCCCAAATATCTCTTTCCCATTTCACTATGTGCATTGGTTTAGTGTTTTGTGTCTAAATCTTTGAGAATTCTATATATTTTAGCTGTTCCGTGTTTTCCCATCCCCCCGTGCATCCAACAACCTTTCAAACAAATTCCAGTCCTTTTTCATTCTCAGGGGTTTTGGGAGATTTCCCCAAAAACAATTTAATTGGTGATAACGCACTCGTCTAACCTAGTGAAGATATTTCCCTTTTCCTTTTCCAACTCTTTAAAGGGCTTCAGTTTCCCTTCTCCCATTATATCTGTAAGTTGGACATCTTCCTTTTTTTTTTTTTTTTATAAATATTTATTTATTTTTCAAGTCATATACAAATCATTTCAACATTTCTATTAAAATATTTATCTAAACAGTAATTTCTCCTTATATAATTTATTTATTTATATATATAACTTCCTTTTCCATCCCCCTCCCATACACCCCCACCTCTATCTCCCTAAAAAAATTCTCGCAATAATCCCCGCTCTATAGTATCCTCCTCTCTCTTTACCTCTAGTCAACGTCTCATAGCGTATTCTAGGTTTTTTATTTCTCCATATATATTTTATTATCATTTTTCTAAGTTCTTTGAAATATGCCTCTGATTGGTTGATTGATTGGAATCATTTGAAATTTGTATAATACTTTGGGGACGATTACCATCTTTATCAGGTTTTACGCGTCCTATCCACGATGGATTCCCATTTCCCACTGTAAGGAATGGACTTGCCAATAGTGGTGGGACTCACCTGCCTTGTGGGCTGCAGTACCAGGGCTGGCCAGCGGGTGCTCTCAACAACCAGAGGTTCACTTCGGCAATTAGCCATCACCTGGGGCTGATTGCAGGTGTACTTAAGGGATGGCCAGACCTGCAGTCTGTGCCTTGGTGTGTGTTTTTTCCATGGGCCCCTGTACCTTGTAACCTGCATTCCTGTTCCTGCCTGACTTGTTGCCGACCCTGCTTGATCCTGACCTCTGCTGACTTCTCCTGTTTTGAACACATATAACAATGGAGACAAGGGACATCCCTGTCTTGTACCGTTTGACATCTTAAAATGCTCTGATCGTCCTCCATTTACCATTATGGTGGCGCTAGGACCTCTATATAACTCTCCAATCCACCCTCTCATTCTGTCTCCCAGTCCTAACGCTTCTCAGTATCTATCAACATTATCTACTTAGATCTTTCCCTTTTTGCACCTGTTCAAGATCATGTATTTCATTTAATAATCTGTTTATCTTTTCTCTCCTTTCTTTTTTCTTTTTTGCCCCCCTTAGACCTCTGATGTAAGCTTTATGTGCTTCCCACACCGTTCCAGCCGACACGTCCTCTGTCTCATTCTCTTCAAAAAAACATTCAATTTCCTCTCTCAATTCTTTTACCGATCTCTTCATCCATGAGGAGTGCCTCATTCATCCACCACACATATCCCTCTCACTCCTCTCTACCCCATTTTAACTTCATTGCAACCGGGCATGGTCCGACAGAGTGCTTTCTCCTATTTTTACTTCCCCCACCCACTCTAATATTTGATGTTTCTACTAATATGTAATCTAGTCTAGAATAAGTCTCATGTACATGCGAAAAGAAAGCATAATCTCTCTCCTTCATATTCCTGATTCTCCAGATGTCCACCACTTGACACTCATGCATCAGTTTCTTTTCCTTCTCAAGGACTTGCTTTCTTCTCTCGGCATACCAGAATTAGTGTCCATCCGCAGATCCATACAGAGGTTAAAGTTTCCCGCTACAATCATACACCCTCTTTTAAAATCCATCAATCTCTTCAGCACTTCTCTCATGAATGTCTCTGGCTTCTTATTTGGACTGTATATATTTGCTATTGTGCACTCAATTCCCTGTAGTTTACCTTTCAAAAATAGAAACCTTCCCTCCAGATCCGTTAATCTCTCCTCAACCGCAAACCTTATATTTTTAGCAAAGTATTTATACTTTTGCTCTTTTGATTGGTCAGTCCGCATAAAACCATGTTGGAAAATATCTGGTCCTCAATCTAACCTTCGACTCTATCTCTAAGTGTGTTTCTTGCAGAAATACCACTGAAGATTTTCTATGTTGTAGTTCTTTAAATAACCTAAATCTCTTTCCTGGACAGCTTAACCCTTTTACATTGTAGTTTATATATTGGATTTCTTCCATCTTACTCTTTTCCTCCTGACTCCTTTTTCCTCCTTACTTTCCTCTTTCTTATTCCTATAGAGCTTTTTTTATCCCACTA